CTAAATGTGTGTTGCTTTGCAAAACAAAACAGTTCCCGTGAAATAACCCGCTTTTTAATTATCTGCTGTGGAACACCGTTTTGTCTCTATCCTAATCTTAATTTGAATGACCTGAATAAACCGAGGTGGTCCAAACCCAATTTTTCAGGTTGATTCATAGTTTGTTTGTTACTTTCCAAACGTCGGCCAAACTAACATCACTTTGACGTACAGATATCTCAGTTTTTGAGGCATGGCGGAACACACAAGCAAAGTTATGAACAATGATCCCTTGTTGTGACTGGTCTGAGTATTAAACAGCTGCCGCCCTACATGCTAGTTCAGTGATTCAAACTCGGAACAGCAGCAGTGACCATAAATTTTTGCTACCCGGATAGGTCTTATGGGCAGACGGCCCTTGTTCCACCATCACCAATAGACTGGTGAGTTGGTAAGTCCAGAAGTTTATTGTAGCCCTCTAGAGACAATCTCTGCGAGATTGGGTGGCTATTAACTGACCAGCATTTAAAAGCATTCATGATGTAACTGAAGACGGAAGAAAGAGTCAGGAAAGAACTCGAGTCTCGTCTGCCATTTAGCGTGTGTCATGTGAACAAGACACACCATTTGATTACGACAACCATGAAACGCAACTCGTTGCAACGCCTTATCGTATTAATTCGGGCAAAGTGAGGAAATTTCCAAAGTTAAATGCAGATAATAAACACGTATGGTCAAAATATTGAAAGCTTCAGTTACTCAAAAATGTGCAGGATCGGGATATTGTTGCAGCTGATTATCTAAGTAAGCGATTTTTGCCACGGTCGAAGCTGTTCAAAGTCTTTGGAATGCGTAACTGAAAGGGTTGGACGTGCTAGTTTTCACCGTTTTGTTGCGCTTATACTGCCACTTAAGACAACAGCCCTCTAATGAATTGGTTGATTTTATTTCAAGACAATATCAACAACAACATCCAATCATCTTCAACCTAAGTTGATTCGATTAGAGAACCATTCTGTGCAAAAAAAAACCGACGTTGTACTGAGGATGTTCTCACGAACGCATCTGACATTATTTTTTATTGCCAGGTCAACAGTGGGAGAAGCAAAATCCACTGTTGAAGAAGGAACTTTTCGGTGTATCAAAAGACGTGACAGACGCAGCAAACGCTAACCGGCAACCACAACATAATTTACGGGCTGAGGGTTTGCTGAACGGCGAGGGAATGACCGGCAACAGTTTGGAAGTTAGCGGTGGAAGTCGCCAAGGTAGTTTTCGATCAAGTTTCCGGCGACACGGTGCCAACACCCACGAACCTCGGTCCCGGGAAATCGGGCAGCAGAACACAGACGTACGTTTTGTAGTTTACTGCTTGCCTTAGAAAATCTTTTCATTAGGGTGTTGTACGGAAACATGTCTGAAAAATGCATACACATTAGAAGAAAACCCACTAATTTAGCTTGTGAACATGATGTTGAGAGAAATTCTCAGATTTCGCAGTGTGGTATATCTGCCTTATTTACCACCAACCTCCTGTGTTGCGGTCTTAATCACTATTGTTACCTCGGTAACTAAATCGCTAGGATCGAAAGTTTACAAGCAAGGCCTGTTTAGCACACTGGGGAAGGAAAATTATCACATTAGAATTTGGTAGCTGAAATAACGGAAGGTTTTATCAGTAGTTTCAACTAAACGTAATCGTCTCGGTTAGCAGGTGTGTTTTTGAGCACCTACATGTGTTGGAGAATAAGACGGATATGGGCTGTGAA